AAGAATTATATATATATATATATTTTTTTTTTTTTTTACTTTTTTGATGTGTATCTAAACTGTTTAAAAAATAGAATTTTGAGTTTTTATTTATTTTATTTTATTTTTTTAAAGAAGCAAATCCTATCTGCATATTAAAGAATTGCATTTTTAAAATCTGTTTTTAGAAGCATTTTTTTTTTTAAATTTTTAAACAAACTGTCCCATAGAATACAAATTACAAAGTTACTAGTTGCATATACCATGGTTCAATTGTGCCCTGCAGCCTGTCATAATGTGACTGCCATATTCTTGAGCCTTTGACGTACCAGCACACATTTTGTACTGCAATTTTTATCTGCAACGTTTAAATCAGGACCAGATTTTAAAGCCTCCTCAGGTTTTAGGGCAATAGAAAGCCTCTGGTCTTTCAGAAGACATTTCCAATAGCCTATGACTTTTTGCAAAATTGCTCTTCTGTCTCTCTCTCTCTCTCTCTGTCTCTCTCTCTTGTTTTGTTCATATTTTTTGAATGGGAACCAACTTTGTCTTCCACCAGTGTAGTGGCTCTATGGCCCATGTGTGCCTGATGTGCAGTTGGGTATTTGAGACTCACACATGGTCTGTTTCCCGGGTCTGTTTTTTGCACTAGTGCAGTTGTGCAGTGGCAGAAAAATAAAAACATCTAATTTAATAGGTTAATCAGGAAAAGAATAAAATTGCCCATCTCATATTACATAAATAGATAATTAGGTGGCCTTAAATTGTCATGATTTTATACTTATTTTTTCGGATTTAAACTATTCATGAGTGCGGTGAGTTCTGTCATCAGTCAAGTTTTTCACTTCAAATATTATTTTTAATTTGTATGCTTGTTATTTTGAATTAAAACATAATGTCTGGCACTAGGTATAAGTAACAAATGATAGATTTTTAAATCAGAGGATCTATTAAGTTAGTTGTAGAAAATGATACTGGATAATTCGTGATCTTGGAAGAGGAGCTTTGAATAATTAAATTGCTAGAATGTGGTTGGACTGTGCAAACTTTTTCATGCTGCAATAATTGTATTGAATGAGAAAAAAAATTCAATTATTTTTTATCTGATATGCCAGTCTAAGCTGTGTTATTTTGGGTTATGTGCAGTGGTTCTGATGATATGTGTTACTAAAGTTGCCAAGTCTGCTTTAGATAAAGCCTTAGCCGAAAATGAAGATATTGATGAGATTGGTTCCTCGCCAGAGTTACCGATTGTTGCTGAACCAGCATCAGCAGATCTCAACCAACCTCTCATTGTTAAGATAGATTCTGCTGAAGACAGTCATGAAAAGTAAATTCCTTTTTGTGTAAATTCTTTCTCCACCTACCATCTCAAGGCTATAGAGCTAGCTAGCTGCCTGCGTCTATTTATTCGCGATTTGTACAGTTTCTACATTAGAAATATAGTTTATGACAGGAGTGTTTAACCCTACAGCCAAGGTGACATTATTGACTGAGTCCTTTTTTTAGCAGTAAAAATGTTCATGCTATGAACCATTCCTTATTTTGCTCCCGATTGTACTGGAGTCCTTCACAATTGGCATTTTGAATCTCTAGACTTTTACTAAACACTTTTTCTTAATACATTTCTTTATTGTTGATTTCCTATTTATAGTTAATTTAGTTATTTTGTAAATAATTTACTTTCTATAACCAAAATGAATTAATAATAATGTTAAAAAAGGCAGTTGCTCATGTGTCTCGTTGTAATGCCAACAGAATATGACCATTTTTATCCCCCGAAACGTATTGCAAGTAGTATTATGAAAGATAATATGGACAAATTTATGTATCACATTTTTTCTGTAAGGATCAAGTGATTTTTAATAATTTTATTTTTATAGTTAATCTTTTTAAGGTTTATATGGTATATATAAATCGGTATAATATAATAGGTTAATGTACCATGCGAAAGTGACGTGCCAATACGTCATCAATCAAGTGGAATACCTACAAATATATGGTGCTGTTCACTCACATGCTGGTCCCTAATTGTTGCAATGTTGTCACCAACCAATAACCATGTACTACTCGCAGTTCGTCTTATATAGGTATCTCCAAGTTCTTTATCCTCACACTTTTCCTAAATCCAGTGATTAAAATATATTTTCTAATGGTGGAAGTAAATTTACTCACCTTCCATATGAAATATTTATTTTAGACCAAGATAGAATGTATGATTTTGATCTGTTGGGTCAAATTAAAAGGAATGAGTTCGTGTATCAATCCACCTATTATCACATGCAGTAGTTTACGCAATCTTTTTCCTCATAAATAAATTATACACTTTAAACATCACTTTCATAGCTACATTGGGTTCAAGTGGTCCCATGTATCGAGTTATCTTAAAAAATTATAAGAGGTATATGCGTAATTCATATAAACCAACATGAATTGATTCGAGTGGAAGAGACAGATGAGTCAGATCCCTTAAGCCTGTAATCTTGTGTTTGATCTAAAAAAAATTCACGTGTTTGAAAAATATATATTGTTAATTAATTAGGAGAATCCCCAGTTTAGCGCAAGTGTGTCTTAAGTTTCTCGTGTGTATGTAATCTTATGTTTAAGTTTCTCTCTTATTGGATATATATATATATATATGTATGTATGTATATGTATATAGAAAGAGTTGTTATAACAAAAGAAAAAAAGTGATCAAGTCTAAAATTAACTAAAAAGAAAAAGTAGAGAGAGACTGTACTATAATTTAATAAATAGATTAAATTATATTTGTATTGAATTTAATTTTGATATTGTCAGATGTACAACTTTTTATACAATTTATTTCATTTTTGTTAACATTTTATATGAGTTTGACGTTTTAATGGCTATATGATTTATCAACCTCATTAAAATGATGTACACATCACTTAACAATGATGTAATTTTTCATTAACATTGAATTAAAATTAATTAAAAAAGTGATCACGAGTCGAATATATGATTCAACACAATCGATAAATGCAAAACTACATAAAAATTAGAATAATTAATTAAAAGGAGGGAAGGAAGGGGCGTAAGACAAACAAACCTTTTGTCATGTATAGAAAATATTATGCAACTGGACCACTAGCTGGTAATATTTTCTAAGAAGAGTAGTTATGTATAGAATAATTATAATCATACACTTATTTTTTCTTCCATCTCCTTTCTAATTCATTTTTCTTATCTTTCTTTTCTTATCACATTATTTATTATATCTATCACTTTTTCTCTTTCCTTATTTTATTTCCATTTATTTATGTGTAACACAAGATTGTCCAATGTTTTACAATTATTAGTGAGATAGAGAGAGAAATATGACATATAAAGAGCAACATAATAGAGAAAGATAAAGGGAACAGTGAATGTATAAAAATTATTGTGTATTATATAAATACTAATGCTCTCCTAAAGAAAGAGCAAATGGAGAGATTACGGGTGCCATTTTTTTTGGTTTGTACAGAAAAGTTTGTGTGTTAAATCTTAAGAACTCATCGAGATCAGGTAAGCTTCAAAACTTTATAAATACTTATAGATGTATTTACACACTATTAATTAACAAGATCCTCACATTAATAGGAATGGAAGACACATTCATTTGAAATACAAGTATGTTACTAACTAACTAACCAATCTTAGTTATTATGGATGTCATTTGATGGCCATGAGATCTATCCTACCTTGATGTATAGATAATATATTTATTGCAGATATTTTGTCGCGTGAATTGTACACATGCAAAAATTGTATGAAAATTAACACAGCTAAACGCAACAATCCCTTGTTATGTATAGAGAATATTCTTGCAATAAAACCACAAGGTAATTCTAGGTCACAACAACAGTCACAGCATTATGCTTGTCGTTAGATGTCCTTACGATCTGTCGTACTCTGATAAGTGATAATTTTATCACAAGGATTAATTATTTTATTTTAGTTAAGAATCGTAAGTACATATCAGGTAAGATGTTTGATTAGTTGTCATGCATAGGATAATAACAAGCGTGTTTGCATTTAGATATTCGCAAATCAAAGTGGATACTAATTTCTGTACTTTCTTCTGTTTTATGTCCAATATCATATATATTAGCAGTATCATTCAATACATTTTGGAGGTTTATATATATATAAATTTTTTATCGTAAAATACTTTTGGCTTAGTCAACACACACTTCATACGTAAACTTGTTTTAAACTAGTCGTTGCCGTTAATAAATATAACACTATCGGTTCAAATTTTGACATAATTAATCAAGTATAAGACATATGTTTAAGGATCAAATATACATCGCTATTTTGTTGTTTTGTTATATTTATATAATGAAACAAAGACAAGAAAAATACTTTTCATAGATGCATAACATATATATAGTAATTTTAACCACACCTCTATTTTTGTTCGAATAACTCGTCCTTGGTCATTACCATGTCACATGTTCCACTGCCTATATGAAGTGTAGTCCAAAAAACCATAGAAGGGAAGGTTATTTATCTAGAATCTTAAATTAAATAAAAGACACCCCTTATGATGAAAGGTGAGGCAATATCATATGCTGCCTCATCATTAATCTGTGAATGCCTTGCATCGGTGGCAATAGCCTCTTTTTCCTACCCTAAGAATCAAAGAAAAATCCATTTTCTAGGAATTTTTAAAATTTTTGTCAGTGCAAGTAAACTTTCCCACTGTCTTCTTGTGTTGAATTTGGGGGTTTATTGGACCCTACTATTTCCTTGATGGAGGGGATAACCAATATTCTTTAATCGTGAGGATTCTAAAGTGCACGTCTCAACATAATGTGTTATGTGTTCTTTTATGATCACAGCCGCAGAAAACGCTTACCAACCACTTGTGTGAGCCATAGTAAAGTGTTCAAATCAAATACGTTAATACATTGACACAAGAGTTTAATTTCGATTCACGTGAGTGTAAAAACATTTTGTACATACTATTGATTAATATTAAAAAATTATTAATATGATTTTTAAGATAATTATTATAAAAGTAATTAAAGTTAATATACATAGTTATATATATATATATATAATTGTATTATTAATATGAAATATCTATAAGTTTTTGTTAATGACTAATCTTCATTAAGAATTTTGAATGATATTTTTAGTAGAGTCTTCTTTTATAATCATATTTTATTTCTATTTACAAGACTTAAATATAAGATCTTGTTTAAGAAAACCAAAATGAAATATTGTTTAAAGAGACTGAATTTAATTATATCAAATAAATTATTTATTCTTAATTAGTGAATTTTACTTAGACAAATGACTTAGTTTATATAATAATTTGTAATTGAACATGATTATGAATTTATTTGAATAAAGTATTTCTAAAGAGAGAAAAAAATTGAAATAAGTTTCCCTACAAATTAAAACT